AGAGAAAAAGAAAAAAAAACGTGGAAGAAGGCAAAAAACAAGCAAATAATTTAATTTGTTTTGATTTTTTCCTGTTAGTTTGTTAGCCCAATAAAATCATGCCACGTGTAAATAAAAATATAACATATGTATAGGTGGTGCAAAAATTATAATTTCACACCTAATTTATAGATACTGTTGGAAATTGGCTCACATAATCCTAAGGGATTTAGAAGTGGTTTCATATTAGGAAAGGTTCATGGAATATTAATTGGAATTGGTAAACTACAAGGAAAGGTTTAAGGTTTCCTAAGGTGTTTCTAATACCAATTGTATTCAAGTTAGAACTTCTAAATACTTTGACCCATGTAGACTATAAATATAAAGCCAAGCAAAGGGAAAACAAGTGAATAGAGATGTGAAGCTAATACTAGGCTACTAGATAGAGAGAAACAAGTTTGTGAGGGTTTTCACAATAGGGTTTCTCAAGTTCTAGTGAGAAGGGAACAATAGTAGTAAGGTTAAGAACAATTATAGGTAGCGTCATCGAGATCAAAGATAGCGGTTCTTTGTGAGGTGTTAGCTTAAGTTAATTAGTTCTTTGTAATCCTTGTTTTGTTCATTCTCTGATTAGTGAAAGCTTCTGGGTTGGTTGTCGGTGGAATAGGCGGTTTGCCTAACCACGTTAATATTGGTGTTCTTGTGTGTGATTGTTGTTTTTCGATTATTTCTCTGTTATTTGCTATTATCTTGATTATCGGTATTCAACCAATCCTTGAGTTATAAGCTTCCGTTGCACAACAAGTGGTATCAAGAGCCGAAGGTTGTTCTTTTTGGGTTGAAGAAGAGATTGCAGAACATTGTGTGAAGGGTTTGGAAATCTGTCCAGACTCGACACTCTGTAGTAAAACGGCCATAACTTTGTGTTCGGATATCGAAACGTCGATATGTTTTTTGGGTTGGAAAGAAGATTCGTCAAACTTTCCAAAGGTGTATGGCACATTTTCTGGTTCAAAGTATTCTGTTCTCAGTAATTCTTTGAAGTTGATGGTTCTATTTTTTTGGTTTCGTTGAAAATCCAATTTTGGGTTTTCTTGTGGTAGCAAGGTTGTAGGTTGTAGGGATTTTCGAGATGGGGCAAAAGTTCAAGTTTGAAGTTTGATGGTATGATGAATTTTGGTTCATGGAAAGTACAAGTCCAAGTTCTCTTGGTACAATCTGGGTTTAACAAGACACTAATGAAACAACTGACGGGTGATTCTGTGGAAAAAGGTGGAGCGGTTTCGGCAAATAGCTCCAAGTCAGTAATAGACAAGCAGACTGCTAATTCTGACGGATATGCTAATCAGGTGGAGTACTTCGATGATGAATTTCTTTTAGCGACTAATCAAGAAAAGAATTCTAATCGAGAGTGGATTCTTGATAGCAGTGCCACACTTTGTTCACATAGGTCATGCTTCGACAAGTATGTAAGTTGTGAGGGTGCCTGGATGTCGATGGGTGATGACTCCAAGAAGTCGATAGTGGGAGTCGGTAATATTCACATCAAGATGTATGATGGGATGATACATATTCTTGAAGACGTTCGACATGTGTCGAATTTGAAAAGAAATCTAATTTATCTTTCCAAGTTAGATTCTTTGGCTTACAAGTTCACTGGTAAAGGTGGAGTTGTAGAGGTTTACAAAGATTCCAATGTGATCATGAAAGAAGTTGCGGGTTGTAGCGACTTGTATTCTAGAGTTGGTCCTAAAACAGGCTGGATGATGATTAAATCACAAGGTTCTGTTATGAACAAGGTGACTGCTGAAGGAAGGAACTCAAGAATGGTAAAGATGCTCAACAAGTGGATTCATGTGGGCAAGTTTGAAGGTATTTCAAACTTGGCAGTCGATCTTCATTGATCAGGCACCCAAATGGGTGGACGCGACAACATAGATCAAGAAGGTTTCACGGATGTGGATGAAGTCAACAATAATCAGGTTCATGGTTCGCCAAGGTGGAGATTGTTGGAAATTGGCTCACATAATCCTAAGGGATTTAGAAGTAGTTTCCTATTAGGAAAGATTCATGGAATACTAATTGGAATTGGTAAACTACAAGGAAAGGTTTAAGGTTTTCTAAGGTGTTTCTAATACCAATTGTATTCAAATTAGAACTTCTAAATACCTTGACCCATGTAGGCTATAAATATAAAGCCAAGCATAGGGAAAACAAATGAATCAAGATGTGAAAACAATACTAGGCTACTAGATAGGAAGAGACAAGTTTGTGAGGGTTTTCACAATAGGGTTTCTCAAGTTCTAGTGAGAAGGGAACAATAGTAGTGAGGTTAAGAACAATTATAGGTAGCGTCATCGAGATCAAAGATAGCGGTTCTTTGTGAGGTGTTAGCTTAAGTTAATTAGTTCTTTGTAATCCTTGTTTTATTCATTCTCTGATTAGTGAAAGCTTATGGGTTGGTTGCCGGTGGAATAGGCGGTTTGCCTAACCACGTTAATATTGGTGTTCTTGTGTGTGATTGTTGTTTTTCGATTATTTCTCTATTATTTACTATTATCTTGATTATCGGTATTCATCCAATCCTTGGGTTATAAGCTTCCGTTGCACAACAGATACGTGGCGTGATTTTATTGGGCTAACAAAATAACATGAAAAAAATCAAAACGGATTAAATTTTTTGCAAAAACAAGTATTGTTGAAGCAAAATCATTAATTCCAAACTCAGAAAATACCCTGCTTGAACATGTTACTCAGGAGCTTGAAATTAATGAGAAGCCAACTGCAACTCATAAGACTGAAACTAATAAAATGAAGCCTATGCCAAAGAAATTTCGGAGGCCATCAGCTTTTGCCAAGACAACTGTTGCTCCTCCACCCCTTCTCCCCAAGAATAAGAGAAGGATGCAACCATGGGCGTGGCTTCTCCTTACGGCACCACAAATTGTTGCTGCCTGCCAGTCTTCAACAAGTCTTGCTGTAGAATTTATTATTCTAAATAGCATATAATGCAGGCTTACATTAGTTTGATCTGTGCTCTTTTTT